AAAATCAAAATTACAGAATGAGTTGAATCCAAATTATTATTTTAATCGACGAAAATAAAATACATCAAATATAATATCCGTTTCATCATATTTTTTTTTATTTTCTGGATACTGTTTATTTTGTTGCATAAGTAATAATATGCAGATGTTTAGAAATATAATTTATTTTTGAAGAAATAATTCCATTATATCAATTTAAAAAACAAATATGAAATAGTAATTACACTTTCAATAATATTTATTTATTTTTAATCAAAAAAAATATCGATTAACAAATATTTTAAGATAAACATATGAAAATTCAATCAAATTTAGTCATTGAATGAGAAATGATTATTTTCTTCTTCAAGAATAAAATACAACAAACAAAAATTTTCCCTTTTAATATTATTAAAAAATATTAAATAGAAAGCTATTCGTAGAGTGTTCTTTCAAATGCATTTTCATTAACCTTTTGATGACCATAAAAAAAAATAATCTATATATTTTTTAAAATTAAATAGAATAGCTTCAACATATTTTCAGGTGAAAAAAAATATTAAGAATTAGTTTTTGAAAAAGTTATTATTCATCAGAGTAATTGTTCTAAAATGATTCATCTCTTCTGTCAGACTATAAAATTAATAATCTTTGAGAAATTTCTAAATTATTTTTTTTTAGTCTCACTATCGAGACAAAAATATTTCTAATATAAGATTAAATTCATATATTTGTATTTTATTTATTCTTTAAATATATTAATTTTTTAATTCCGTATGATTTTATCTAAGTAATAGAAATCTATTGAAGATTGTAAAAATATTTTATTTAATAATTTTTTTATTCCATATTAACATTCATTGATATGAAAATAAATTTTATTTCAGAGAAATAATATGATATTATTTAACATGTTCAATATTTGGTTATTATCGCTGTTTATTGGTCAAATATCAGGTATGCATTTTGTTAAAATAAGATATCTAACTTCATAGAACAGTCTTTCTTTTAAAATAAAAATATCTATGAGATAATTATGAATACACTGATCGAATGTAGAATGTCTATCGTTAGGTTTATAATGATCTTTATTATTTCCTATAGCTATTGCATACAATCTCCCGAAATTTTGTGCAAATGCAACATGGAATCCTACGGCTATAACTTTTGCTGATAGTACTATAGTTGGTACATATCCTTATGGAGTTTTTGTCGATACAAATAATACGGTTTATATAGCTGATAGAGCAAACAATCGAGTGCAAATTTGGGCTAACAATAGTGCAACACCGACAAGGTCTATCTCGGGTGGTTTAAACACATCCTTTAACCTTTTCGTCACAGATAATAGTGATATTTATGTTGATAATGGTTATGCAAATAATCGAGTGGATAAATGGGCATTTAATTCAACAAGTAGTGTTCCAGCAATGTATAATTGTGGACCATGTTTTAGTCTTTTTATTGATATTAATAATATGCTTTACTGCTCACTGTACAATGCTAATAAAGTTATTGCAAAATCATTGAATACAAATTTAAATATTTGGAATACTGTTGCTGGAACAGGAACTGTTGGATCAACACCGTCTATGCTTAATGCACCATGTGATATCTTTGTCGATAGTAATTTAAATTTATATGTGGCTGACAATAATAACAATCGAATTCAAAAATTTGGATCAGGACAATTAAATGGAACAACAATATCAACAGGAACTATCACACTTAGTCATCCAACTGGAGTTATTCTTGATTTTGATGGATATCTCTTTATTGTTGATCAAGGTAACTATCGTCTTATCGGTTCAGGACCTTATGGATATCGATGTATAGCAGCATGTTCTGGAAATTGGGGGTCATCATCTACTCAATTAAATGCTCCATACTCAATACGTTTTGATAGTTATGGAAATATATTTATTAGCGATTTATTTAACAATCGAATTCAAAAATTTTTCTTGGTGACAAATGGATGCAGTAAGTGAAAATAAATCTCATTTATTTTATTAATTAAAATTATATCTTTTTCTTTTAATAGATGGAACAACAACATCAATGACAACAATGTCTAGTGGTTTGTTTTTTATTAATTTTTGTTTTACTGAGACTTTACATTTGTTTTTTATAGGAATATCAATGAATAGTACTCAATCAGTTCCGTTATTAACATCTACCTATGGAACAAGTTCTACAACTATATCTTCTTCGACACGTATGTTGTTTATAAAATATTTTTTAGAAGTTTTATTCAGATTTTTTCATATTGTTCTTATGAAAGTTAATTAATATATCATACATTTCAGTATACTGTTCGCTAAGTAAACAAATCCAACTACAGAAAGTGAGAATCATTTTAGTCGATAGCACCTGATTATTATAGTAAAAATGAGAGGAGCAGATTAAGCATTAACACGACTTTTCGAGAGCTCGATTTAATAGAACAGATACTCAGACTTTTCAGTACAGTTTTCCAATAAAATCTATCGCTTGTAAATATTATAGTATATTATAATTTTGTTAGATAGTAACCAGGAAAATAATGTGAAGATACACCAAATGATTAATTTACTAGGAATTGAAAGAATTCTTGTCAAATATATCTTTTTAGGTCTTTCGTACAACCGACCAAAATTTAGTGCTTATGCTACTTGGAGTTCTAATGGAGTAACTCTTTTCAACACTAGTACAATTGGACAATATCCATATGGTCTATTCGTTGATACTAACAATACTCTATATGTATGTGAATGGAATCAAAATATGATTCAAGTATGGCTTGAAAATAGTAGCATACCTATAAGAACTATTAGTGGTGGCTTATCCTATCCCTATACTATGTTCGTTACAGTTAACGGTGACGTTTATGTTGATAATGGTGATTCAAATAGTCAAGTCGATAAATGGGCAGTAAATACAACGGTTGGTGTTCCAGTAATGATTGTCAAAGCCGCATGTTGGGGTCTTTTTGTTGATATTTATAATAATATTTATTGTTCGCAATATGCATATCATCAAGTTGTCACAAAATCATTAAATAGTCGTTCAAATATGTGGATAGTTGCTGCTGGTACGGACTGTTCAGGATCAATATCAAATACACTTTATTATCCTCGTGGAATTTATGTTGATACAGATTTAAATTTATATGTTGCTGATTGTGGTAATAATAGAATTCAATTGTTTTTATCAAACCAATTAAATAGTATTACAGTAGCTGGTACTGGAGCACCATCAACTATTGATCTTGTTGGTCCTAGTGGAGTTGTTGTTGATGGTAATGGTTATCTTTTTATTACGGATACTGGCAATCAGCGTATTGTTGGTTCAGGACCAAATGGATTTCGTTGTTTAGTAGGATGTTCAAGAGTTCTGGGTTCGGCATCTAATCAATTATACTATCCGATGACTTTAAGTTTTGATAGTCATGGAAATATGTTTATTACCGATGACTTTAATTATCGAATTCAAAAATTTTATATAACAAGTAATATTTATAGTAAGTTAAATAAAATCTAACCGAACCTATTTATTTAAATTAATCAATCTTAGTTTTTGTTTGTGTAAGACACAATAGTAAAATTGATTCTGATTATATTAAACCATTCAACTCTCTGAAGATCTTTATAAGATCGAACATAAGATTAATATTTTTTGTATTAGAAAATATTTCATTTGATGAAGATGTTGGAACAATGATACCAATGCCTTTTGATTTATTTTTAATTTTAGGTACAACTATCAATCAACCAAGCTTCTGTCCATCTACAACTTGGTATACAGATGGGATTACATTTGCTAACAGTAGTACGGTTGGAACAAATTCATATGGTGTTTTCGTTAGTATTAATAATACTGTTTATGTCGCTAATCAACAAACTAATAAGGTTGTAGTATGGTTCGAAGGAAGTATTAATCCAGATAAAATTCTTTCTGGTAGTCTGAATACACCATTTGATCTTTTTGTTACTCCTGTAGGTGATATATATGTTGACAATGGTGCATTTAACAGTCGAGTTGATAAATTTTCATTGAACTCAAGTATAAGTACTTCTGTAATGTCAGTTCCTTATGCATGTACTGGTATTTTTGTTGACATTAGTAATACTCTTTATTGTTCAGCATTTACCTCTAATCAAGTTGTGAAGAGATGGCTAAATGATAATGTACTTACATCAACTATTGTTGCTGGCAACGGTACAACTGGATCAACAGCAACTATGCTTAATGCGCCTATTGGAATTTTTGTCGATGCTAAATTTAATTTATATGTTGCAGATTCTAATAATCATAGAATACAAATGTTTCCTGTTGGACAATTAACTGGAATAACTGTAGCAGGAGCTAGTGCACCAGGAACTATTACACTTTTTGAGCCAAATGGTATTACATTAGATGGTAATGGATATCTTTTTATTGCCGATTGTTTTAATCATCGAATAGTTGGATCAGGACCATATGGTTTTCGATGTTTGTTTGGATGTACGACAATACCTGGTTCTGCATCAAATCAATTAAATTATCCAGGAACTTTAAGATTTGATAGTTATGGAAATCTATTTGTTGCTGATAGATTTAACAGTCGCGTGCAAAAGTTTATATTAGCATCAAATTCATGTAGTAAGTTATTTTTAGTTTATGTTTTCGATGATATACATTTATTTATTTATTTTAGGTCTTTCTTATAATCAACCAACATTGTGTTTTAATGCTTCGTGGTATTCTAATGCATCAACTTTTGCATCAAGTAGTACAACTGGTTCATTACCTTATGGTATTTTCATTGATGGAATTAATACTGTTTATATACCTAATCGAGTTAGTAACACTATTTTATCATGGGCTCAAGGAAGTAATACATCAACAAGCAATAGTTATAGTAGTTTAAGTAATCCATATAGTCTTTTTATGTCTATGACTGGTGATATTTATATTGATAATGGTTATTCATATGGTCGAGTCGATAAATATACATTTAATACATCAAATCGTGTTACTGTTATGAATGTCAATGGAAGTTGTTATGGTTTGTTTATTGATATTAATAATAATATTTATTGTTCACTTAAATATCTTCATCAAGTTGTTAAACTCTTACTTAATAATGGTACAACCATCCCGATAATTGCAGCCGGTAATGGTTCTGCTGGATCACTATCAAATATGCTTAATTCTCCTCAAGGGATCTATGTTGATAGTAATTTAAACCTATATATTGCAGACTGTGCTAACAATCGTATTCAATTTGTTCAAACTGGCCAGTTAAATGGAGTGGCAATCGTTGGTAATGGATCATCAACAAATATTATACTTAACTATCCAACTGGAATTGTTCTTGATGCTAATGGTTATTTATTTATTGTCGATAGTTATAATCATCGCATTGTTGCTTCAAGTTATTATGGTTTTCGATGTATCGTCGGATGCTCAGGAGGTGGCTCAACTATGTATCAATTATCTTTTCCACAAAGTATGGCTTTTGATAGCTACGGAAATATATATGTTACTGATCGAAATAATAGTCGAGTGCAACAATTCACTCTGCAAACTAATAGTAACTGCAGTAAGTTATTTTCATATAATGAAATATTATGAAGTTGTAGTTAATAAATAATCTTTTGTGAGTATCATTTGAAAAGTTGACAAAAATCGAATGAAATGTTGCTTGAATTATTTGATCTCATATTAATATTTTTAGTATAGCCTCCTTCTAATTTGATTGAATAAAGCACAACTATTTTATATTTTAGCAATACCAACCACCACCTCCACTACTACTACGACGAGCAGCAGCAGTACCACCACTAGTACTACTACTACTACCAGCACTAGTACCACAAGTAGTAGCAGTACTACGAGTACCACTACCACCACCACCAGTACAACCAGTACCACAAGTAGCACTACCACTAGCAGTACCACTAGTAGCACTACTACTACTACTACTATTACCACCACCAGTACCACAAGTAGTACTACCACTAGCACTACAAGTACCACCACTACTACTACTACTACCACCACCACTAGTACTACAACGAGCAGCAGCAGTAGCACAAGTAGTACTACTACCAGCAGTGAAAGTACTACAAGTAGCACTACTACTACTACTACTATCACAAGCAGTACTACTACCAGCAGTGAAAGTATTAGCAGTACCACTACTACTACCACCACTACCAGCAGTACCACTACTACTACTACCACCACTACTAGCAGTACCACTAC